ACGAGAAGGCCCACGGTGACCACGTCACAGACCTCTGAACCGGGAGGAGCACAGGTCGTTGTTGTAAGTGGGATTTGGGCGAGCGAGTTCGCAGCCGCCGCTCTCCAGCAAAGCTCCACAGCAGCAGCGTTTTATCGATCACCAATCGTGCCACAAGAAGCACAGCCAGAACCAAAAGCTACTCCAGCCCAAGAACAACACGAGAGTGAAAGTATGGCGATCGATGACGAAGCAAAAGGTTGCGAGCACAGGAAACAAAAACCCGTGGAGCAACACGACGAAGAGATAGACGACGGCGACGTAACAGAGAACGAGGATAGCAAAAGCGAAGAAGTGGTGACGACGGCAAACGCTTGACGATCGAGCCAGCAACTTAAACTTCGCAAACGTTCTTCGACGATCGAGGAACGATTTTACTGCTGCTGGTGGCTACGCTTGAAACTCGCGACGGAGTCGTCAAACGCGCTGCATACGTGATCACAAATGAGAACGAGGTCTCGCAGAGCATCCTTAAAGACGGACTTTGCAGATTCACCTGTAAAAAAAATAAACATATGATCCATCGTCTACAAACACGAGAAAGAATTGAGAGAAAGGAGAGAGTTGATCGATCTTCTCCGTTACTTGCCTGTGGTTTGCACACGAACGTTTACACGGTTGTCGGATGGATGAGGAACGCTGTAGCCACAAAATGTGACGCGAGGGCTGGAGAAATCGAAAGAATCCAGAGATTCGAGCAAAGAAGAAGAAGAATAGAGCGCTTACTCGCCGTTGAGAACGTAGCGAATAGAGTTGCCGAAGGTGTGATCTTCGTCATTGATGCAGAACGTGGAAGACTCGGGCTCCACGTCTGAGCCGAGCTCCACCGCCATAGCTCAAACTAGGGCTCCAGCCAAAGGAATATTTAAACAAGCAAACGGAATATTTAAATTTAAAATTTGAGCTCGAAAGATTTTGTGTTTGATCTTCGTTGTCTACTGGCATGGTTGTTTCTTCTTGAATATCAAGCCACAAGTCGAGAGAACTTGGAACACACGGCTCTGGAAAATAAGCCTTGGTGTTTCCCTCGAGCATTTCCACCACGGTTTTCGATTCTTCTCGCTGTCTTGGATGCACCAAATAGCGTAGCTCTTTTTCATTCCACTCTTCGAGACGATCACCTGGCAACTTCGAGAACTCACCGTTGCAAACTTGCTGAGAAGCCCACAGGGGATAGAAGACGATCTGGTCGTTTCGGAAGTCGATGTTCCTGCGACCACTGATGATCTCCAGCAGCGTCATCCCGTAGCTGTAGACGTCGGCTTTCGGGGTTATGGGCATGTTTGACAGCCACTCTGGTGCAGGGTAGCCGATAGACAGGAGCAATGGCGATGTCGCAGTCGATCAATATCATAGGTTTAAAGCGGGTTCCTCTCATGCTCGTCACAACTCGGCTAAACTCTCGTTGCCCAGGCCAAAGTCGGCAACTTTGGGTTTCATCTTGGCGTCCAGGAGGATGTTCTCGGGCTTGATGGCGTAGTGGATGATCCGGTCTCGACACTCCTCGTGAAGATATGGAAGTCCTTTGGCAGTCCCGAGAGCAATCCCGAACCTTTGGCTCCAGCTGAGCACGACCGAGTTTTCAGCACCGTTTAGATCTCGGTTGAAGAGGCTCCTGTCCTGCGATCCTCCCTCGACGAACTCGTACACCAGGAGCCTTTCTTTGCCACAATATCCTCGAAGCCGGACGAGGTTGACGTGTTGAAGGGTCCCAATGGTGCTCAGCTCTGGTTCGAACTTGATCAGCCTCTCGACAGCCACAGCCTCTCCTTGGATGTAACACCCTTTGAAGACCGCTGCTTGAAACCATCCGTGGCTGCATGGAGCTGCTTGGGCGTGAAATGAGCGAGCTCGCCACCAGCAAAGTCGTCGCTCTTACACTTGCCACTGCTTGGGACTGTCTTGGTCTTGAGAATTTTCATGATGCCGATTATAAGTCCAAGCAACAGTAGCAACGCGGCTCCAGCTCCAACTCCGACAGCAATTCTGGAGATCTTGGAATAAGTGGTGCACCCTTGAGCCCAGTCCTCGTTGGCTGGTCTCGACCCAGTGGGACAACTACATGGCATCAGAGAAGTATACGAGCACATCGAGTCGATCCTTCCATCATGTCCGAGACGAAGGATGGAGTGCTGGAAGCTCTTCTCGAACCAAGTGATCTAAGGAGGATCATTGCTGGTGTTGAAGGCGAAGGTATAGTTTTCGTTTATCTCCTAGGTGTTCCAGGCACCCGACGTCCAGAACTCCGGCGACGTGGAGCTCGCCTTTGTGAGTGAGAAGGAGCGAGGCCTTGGAACTCACCGGAGTGTCGCGATTTGCAATCCAGATGGGGATGAAGTCGCCGGCTAACCTGGTGAACGAGATGCCCAAGTAGAAACGACCATTGTCGCCTGGGAAGAAGTCGAGCCGGACTGTACCATTTGCCAAATAGATCATCGCCAAAGGGGATTGAGAAGATCAAGCATTGGGGTAACCATTTGGTTTTCTGCATGACTTCGAGGCCTTCATCAACTACTCAAACCTTAATCACGTATAATGACACCACTAGAAACGTGGCAGTGTAGCACGAGTAATTGACCAGAGGAAAACTATGCCCTCACGAGTCCTCGTCGCCGTCTCGGCGAAGATCATGGCGCTGCTCCAGTTCCTCTTCCTCGCTCTCCTCTCGACCGCGCTCGCCGACGATCGAATGCCGCTGGGATCGCGCCTGCTCGCCACGGAATCCCTCATCTCGACAAATGGCACGGTCAAGCTCGAGTTTTTCTCGCTTACCAGAGGCAGCAGCAGTGATCTCTACTTGGGCATCTCCTTCAACACAAGAACCAGCGAATTCATCCCCATCTGGATCGCAAATCGCGATGCCCCGGTGAGTTCCAACGCCTCGCTCCTCCTCACGAGCGAAGGCGAGCTCCAGATCATCGATAGGGGGAGTATCATATGGTCTGGCACTCCCAGCTCCAGGAACTCGGGAACCACCCAAGCGGTACTCCTGGACTCGGGCAACTTCGTCCTCACTGGCGACTCCTTCGATCCTAGAGACGATAACGCGACGTATCCCTGGCAGAGCTTCGATCACCCGGCGGATGCGTGGGTCCCAAGGATGAAGATGTTCCTGGGAGCCAACCTCACGGCCTGGAAGTCGAGCGTCTCTCCGGCTAGTGGGCGATTCGTCATGACCATAAGAACCTCTAACGAGTTGGTCATCTCCACCACGAATGATACGTCGCGGGAGTACTGGACGTCCGGTGCCTGGAACGGCAGGATCTTCTCGCTGGTGCCGCAGATGAATAACTATCTCTACACCTTCACCTTCAACGCCACCAATGATCCTCCATACTTCACTTGGTTCGAGACGAGCTTCCAGCACTCCATCTTTCGCCTCGGGCACGATGGAAAGATCAGCGTGAAGCGGATGTATGGAAACGGAAACGGAAACTGGTTCACCCCCTGGGCCGTCCCGGCTAACATCTGCGACGTGACTTCTCTCTGCGGATCAAACTCGGTTTGCTCGAGCAACTCGAATCCACCCTGTAGTTGTCCCACCGGATCGAGCCCGAGCAACGACACCAACTGGAGAACCGAGGACTGGGCCGAAGGCTGCACCGCTCTCTCGAGCCAAGCACGGAGAAGTTCTTCCAAGAACTCGGGAGTTGCCGTCGGAGTCGGAGCCGGAGCTGGCGTCGTGCTGCTGCTGCTGGCTGGAGTAGCGGCGTTTGTGATCGTCAGGAGAAGACGCAAGGCAAAGAGAGTGAGCAGCAGTGATGATAAGTTTGTTAGTGGCGAGCTCGCTCATTTCACGTTCAAGCAGCTCCATGCGGCGACCGATGGCTTCAGGAAGCAGCTCGGCAGCGGAGGCTTTGGAGAAGTCTTCAAAGGCAGCATCCAAGGCGAGGCCGTGGCTGTCAAGAGGCTGATGAGGTTCGATGACAAGCAGTTTCGAGCGGAGGTGAGCACCATCGGCACCATCCAGCACATAAACCTCGTCCGTCTTCGAGGATTCTGTGCGGATGGGGCACTGCAGAGGCTCCTGGTGTACGAGTTCGTCGAGAGAGGATCGCTGGACAGGAGCCTCTTCAACCGAGATGCTAAAAACTCTATCGTGCTCAGCTGGAGCCAAAGGTTCGGAATTGCTCTCGGGACTGCCAAAGGACTTGCATATCTTCACGAGGAGTGTCGAGACCGGATCATCCACTGCGATATCAAGCCGGAGAACATTCTCCTGGACGCTGAGATGAAACCGAAAGTTGCCGACTTTGGCCTGGCCAAGCTTATGGGACGAGAGTTCAGCCGAGTTGTGACGAGCATGAGAGGAACCCGCGGCTACCTTGCACCAGAGTGGCTGTCAAACATGCCCATCACCCCGAAAGCCGACGTCTACAGCTACGGGATGACGCTGCTGGAGATCATCAGTGGTCGCAGGAACATGAACGTCCAGAGCAACCGAACTTTCTATCCATTCTGGGCTGCTCAGCAAGTTCGCAACGGTGAGTTCGCGAAGTTGCCAGATGATCGTCTTGAAGAGTGGGATGAAGACGAGCTACGCCGGGCTGCTAAGACTGCTATCTGGTGCGTGCAGGACGACGAGATCAACCGGCCCAGCATGAAAACCGTGGTGCAAATGCTCGAAGGAAGTGCTACTGACTTCCCAGACCCAGTGATCCCGAGTTCGTTCGAGATCTGGCTTGAGATTGAAGAAGAAAGTGGTTGACATGAGCACCAAAGAATGGAGAACACTCACAGCGCATTCTTTCGGGATACACCGGCCTGTTTTTGTTCGAAAATGTGAGTTGTCTAGGTCCGGGAAAGACACCCATCTCCCTCTGCTCGTTCCATCTCTCAATCTGTAGATAGTAGCACACAATTACGCTTCTGTATCTATCACGAACAGATAAAAAACGAAAGGACTTACCCATTCGGAGGGGCACAGAGAGCGATAGTATCTATCTGGTGAGCAGACGTGATCCCAGCTCTAATCGATCATCGCCTAAGGACATCGAGAAGATCAAGCATTGGAGTTGCCGCGATGGTTTCCTCCATGACTTAGACAGCAGAAGTCCATCACCTAGTCAAACCTTAATCACGTATAATGACACTACTAGAAACGCGGCAGTGTAGCACGAGTAATTGACCACACGCACAAGAGGAAGACTGATATAGCTATGCCCTCACGAGTCCTTGTCGCCGTCTCGGCGAAGATCATGGCGCTGCTCCAATTCCTCTTCCTCGCTCTCCTCTCGATCGCCCTCGCCGTTGATCGAATGCCGCTGGGATCGCGCCTGCTCGCCACGGAATCCCTCATCTCGACAAATGGCACGGTCAAGCTCGAGTTTTTCTCGCTTACCAGTGGCAGCAGCAGTGATCTCTACTTGGGCATCTCCTTCAACACAAGAACCAGCGAATTCATCCCCATCTGGATCGCAAATCGCGATGACCCGGTGAGTTCCAACGCCTCGCTCCTCCTCACGAGCGAAGGCGAGCTCCAGATCATCGATAGGGGGAGTATCATATGGTCTGGCGCTCCCAGCTCCAGGAACTCGGGAACCACCCAAGCGGTACTCCTGGATTCGGGCAACTTCGTCCTCACTGACGACTCCTTCGATCCGAGTGACGATAACGCGACGTATCCCTGGCAGAGCTTCGATCACCCGGCGGATGCCTGGGTCCCAAGGATGAAGATGTTCCTGGGAGACAACCTCACGGCCTGGAAGTCGAGCGTCTCTCCGGCTAGTGGGCGATTCGTCATGACCATGAGAACCTCTACCGAGTTCGTCATCTCCACCACGAATGATACGTCGCGGGAGTACTGGACGTCCGGTGCCTGGAACGGCAGGATCTTCTCGCTGGTACCGCAGATGACCGACAACTATCTCTACACGTTCATCTTCAACGCCACCAATCCTCCATACTTCACTTGGTTCGAGAAGAGCTTCCAGCACTCCATCTTTCGCCTCGGGCACGATGGAAGGATCGAGGTGAAGCAGCTGGATGGAAACGGAAACTGGTACACCCCCTGGGTCGTCCCGGCTAACATCTGCGGCGTGACTTCTCTCTGCGGATCAAACTCGGTTTGCTCGAGCAACTCGAATCCACCCTGTAGTTGTCCCACCGGATCGAGCCCGAGCAACGGCACCAACTGGAGAACCGAGGACTGGGCCGAAGGCTGCACCGCTCTCTCGAGCCAAGCACGGAGAAGTTCTTCCAAGATCTCGGGAGTTGCCGTCGGAGTCGGAGCCGGAGCTGGCGTCTTGCTGCTGCTGCTGGCTGGAGTAGCGGCGTTTGTGATCGTCAGGAGAAGACGCAAGGCAAAGAGAGTGAGCTCCGGACGTGGCAGCAGTGATGGTTCCGGCTATAACTTTGTTAGTGGCGAGCTCGCTCATTTCACGTTCAAGCAGCTCCATGCGGCCACCGATGGCTTCAGGAAGCAGCTCGGCAGCGGAGGCTTTGGAGAAGTCTTCAAAGGCAGCATCCAAGGCGAGGCCGTGGCTGTCAAGAGGCTGATGAGGTTCGATGACAAGCAGTTTCGAGCGGAGGTGAGCACCATCGGCACCATCCAGCACATGAACCTCGTCCGTCTTCGAGGATTCTGTGCGGATGGGGCGCTGCAGAGGCTCCTGGTGTATGAGTTCGTCGAGAGAGGATCACTGGACAGGAGCCTCTTCAACCGAGATGCTGAAAATTCTATCGTGCTCAGCTGGACCCAAAGGTTCGGAATTGCTCTCGGGACTGCCAAAGGACTTGCATATCTTCACGAGGAGTGTCGAGACCGGATCATCCACTGCGATATCAAGCCGGAGAACATTCTCCTGGACGCTGAGATGAAACCGAAAGTCGGCGACTTTGGCCTGGCCAAGCTTATGGGACGAGAGTTCAGCCGAGTTGTGACGAGCATGAGAGGAACCCGCGGCTACCTTGCACCAGAGTGGCTGTCAAACATGCCCATCACCCCCAAAGCCGACGTCTACAGCTACGGGATGACGCTGCTGGAGATCATCAGTGGTCGCAGGAACGTGAACGTCCAGAGCAAACAACCTTTCTATCCATTCTGGGCTGCTCAGCAAGTTCGCAACGGTGAGTTCGCGAAGTTGCCAGATGATCGTCTTGAAGAGTGGGATGAAGACGAGCTACGCCGGGCTGCCAAGACTGCTCTCTGGTGCGTGCAGGACGACGAGATCAACCGGCCCAGCATGAAAACCGTGGTGCAAATGCTCGAAGGAAGTGCTACTGACTTCCCAGACCCAGTGATCCCGAGTTCGTTTGAGATCTGGCTTGAGATTGAAGAAGAAAGTGGTTGACATGAGTACCAAAGAATGGAGAACACTCACAGCGCATTCTTTCGGGATACACCTGCCTGTTTTTGTTCGAAAATGTGAGTTGTCTACTTACTTATCGTGCTTGGTACTCGCCAGCTAAATTTTATTTGAACTCGGCAGCCTGCCTAATAAGGTCCGGGAAAGACACCCATCTCCCTCTGCTCGTTCCATCTCTCAATCTGTAGATAGTAGCACCAGTTACGCATCTGTATCTATCACGAACAGATTTAAAAGGACTTACCCATTCGGAGGGGCACAGAGAGCGATAGTATCTGGCATATTTGTCACACTCCGGAGCGTCAGGTCCTCTTTCTTTGCGGCACCTATTTGCAAAAACTGTAAAGACTGAAGAAGCGAAAGAAACTTACTTGTGATATTCAATGTAGCGAGTGTAGCAGTGCTTGGTTTGGTTGGTCGATGGAAACCGGATATCAAATGGAGCAGTCTTTGTATTCAAGACGTCCTCGACCTGGAACGAAAGAACCAAGCATTGAACAAAAAGGAAAGGAAAGAAGAAAAAACTAGAAGTTTTGTGATCTTACCGTGAGTTTGGGCTTTGGTTGCTCTTCTTCTTCTTCTTCTTTCTCCTCCTCCGGCTCTTCCTGGACTAAATTCTCTCCATTGTCTCCAGCGTCTTCGCCAGCAGCAGCTCCTTCTTGCGATGCATGCTCCTTTTCTTCTTCTTGGAGCTCGGAAGAAGAAGAATCCGGATTGGATGCATGAGCAGTGGAGTCAGAAGGAGAGTCAGAGGACTCCTCGGTCGGAACTGGCAATTCCTAGGGAAGAGCAAGAATCTCGAAATTTCTCAAAGCTGGAGAAAGATTTCTTACCGCTTCCTGTCTGGTCGGCGCAGCAGTCTCTACCACTGGAAGCTCCGCCGCTTTCACCCCCGCCTCCTCGCTCGCGGCATGGACGAGGTTGCTGTGACTCGCGCCCATCGCCAAGCTTCTAGAGAGCTTTCCTTGCCCTAAATGTAAAATGGTGCCACGTAAGCGCGATAGCCGACGGTAAGGATTAGCCCTGGGATTTTAGGTTACAACACCAGCAGAACTATTTTGCTGGAGGAGGAGGTGCGTCTGCGAGGCGCGAGGTCAGTGATTTCCTCCAGGATGTCGGCTCCATCGGCGCCATCGCACAGCATCTTCGACGCTGCGACGCAATCGCACAGCGATGCCTACACATTCCTCGAATTCAATACGCAGGGGGACGAATTCGACTATCCAGAGTTTACCGAGCTGAGCCAGCCCGTTCGTCCGGCGTCGGTGTGGCCAGAGGCGGCGTCCTTCAGCGTCAGTGTCACGCCGCCGGATGCTGGCGACGATGCCGCGGCCGCGACTGGAGCAGCGGCGGCGGCGGCGGCAGCAGCGAGCACTGGGGCCAGTGATCCTGCGACAGAGGCCAAGAGCAATCAGGCAGCTTTGAATGCGCTATCGGCAAGTATCAGTGATCTTAACTTTGAAGACACTGGGGAAGATGATAGCCAGGATTATTCCAAGAGGGCGCTTCCAGAGCACGCTTGCAAGTACTGTGGAATACACAACCCGGCTTGTGTCGCGCGATGCAACGTTCCTACTTGCCGCAAGTGGTTTTGTAATTCCCGCGGCAACACTTCCGGCTCACACATTGTGAATCACCTCGTACGTTTCTCTCTTTATTTGCTTTGGTTTCTTCGAAGCTAATACGTGGTTCTTTCTTTCGCAGGTTCGAGCTAAGCACAAGGAGGTTTGCCTTCACAAAGATAGCCCGCTCGGAGAAACTATTCTCGAATGCTACAACTGTGGCTGCCGCAATGTGTTTTTGCTGGGTTATATCTCTGCCAAGTCCGAGAGTGTTGTAGTGCTCTTGTGCCGTGAGCCTTGCTTAAGTGTCAGCGGCTTGAAAGACATGAACTTTGATCTAAGTCAGTGGCAGCCGCTTATAGATGATCGCTGTTTTCTTCACTGGCTTGTAAAGGTACTTCCGTTTCTTATGTCTGGATCGTTCGCTTACTCTTCGAACTTCTACAGGTTCCTTCCGAGCAGGAACAGCTACGGGCACGACAAATCAGCGCGCAACAAATAAACAAGGTGGAAGAGCTTTGGAAGACAAACCCGGATGCGACATTAGAAGACCTTGAAAAACCTGGAGTTGATGATGAACCACAACCCGTCGCGCTAAAATACGAAGATGCCTATCAGGTGATAATTTTCTTGCTTCAGATAGTTTCTTTTACTTACCTTTATTGTTTTTTCTTAATAGTATCAAAATGTTTTTGGGCCGCTAGTGAAGCTTGAAGCCGATTACGATAAGGTTGGATTTTTTCATTGGCTTCTTTGATCTAAACTTGTGCCTGGATCGTAGATGATGAAAGAATCTCAAAGTAAGGACAACATTACCGTTCGTTGGGACGTTGGGCTGAACAAAAAGCGCATTGCGTACTTTGTGTTTCCAAAGGTATGTCTGGCAGATGGTTGCACAGGTTTTTAAGTCTTTTCGTTACAGGAAGACAATGAACTGAGGCTTGTACCCGGCGACGAACTGCGTCTGCGGTATTCTGGTGACAGTTCTCATCCTGCTTGGCAGTCGGTTGGGCATGTGGTACAGTACCGCCGTATTCATATCATATATGACGTGCATAGGAGGATCTAACTAAGATACTTCATTCAGATTAAACTGACCGCGCAAGAGGAGGTTGCTTTAGAGCTTCGAGCGAGCCAGGTATTGGTTGCTTTGGCTAAGATAACGTGTCATTTACTTTTTTCTTTCTTGCAGGGGGTTCCAACTGATGTGCTTCATAATTTTAGCGTGGACTTTGTTTGGAAAAGCACCAGTTTCGACAGGATGCAAGCTGCTATGAAAACCTTTGCCGTCGATGAGACCAGTGTCAGCGGGTAAGTACCCGTTTAATTTTAGATTATAAAGTATAACTTGGTTTCAATACCAGATACATCTATCACCGACTTTTGGGTCACGAGGTGGAGTCTCAAACTGTGCGAAATACATTGCCGAGGAGGTTTGCTGCTCCAGGTCTGCCCGACCTGAATGCTTCGCAGGTTTTTAGCTTCTAAAAATAATTGTTGATCTTCTAACTTGTGTGCATTTATAGGTTTATGCTGTTAAACACGTATTGCAAAAGCCTGTTAGCCTCATTCAAGGTCCACCTGGAACTGGTAAAACGGTGACTTCCGCGGCAATTGTTTACCACTTGGCGAAACAAGGGCAAGGACAGGTATTACCAGTCACATACATTGGATTGTAACAATAATTTAAAATTGTTTGCAGGTCCTAGTATGTGCTCCAAGTAACGTTGCGGTTGATCAACTCGCGGAGAAGATCAGTGCGACTGGCTTGAAGGTGGGTTACATGCTTGTTGCACGTCAACGTTGACTTAACAGTCTCTGGACAGGTTGTGCGGCTATGTGCGAAGTCCAGAGAAGCTGTCAGTTCGCCTGTCGAACATCTTACTTTACATTATCAGGTTTGTGCATTTGGAGATCATTTCAAAAATCTAATAAAGCCTTTTTCAGGTTAGACACTTGGATACATCTGATAAAAGTGAACTACACAAGCTGCAAATGCTGAAAGATGAACAAGGTGAGCAAAGATGCACAACCAAATGTTTTTTTGAATATATTTATATACAGGCGAGCTTTCAAGTGCCGATGAAAAGAAATACAAAGCTTTGAAAAGGGCAACAGAGCGTGAAATTGCCCAAAGTGCTGATATTATATGCTGTACTTGTGTTGGTGCTGGAGATCCTCGCCTCGCAAACTTCAGATTTCGACAGGTATTTTGAATCGAAATTTTGTTTTTTCCTGATAATTTTGTTTCTAGGTTCTCATCGATGAGTCGACTCAAGCAACTGAACCGGAATGCCTTATTCCTCTGGTTCTGGGTGCTAAGCAGGTCAGTATGACTTATTGGATTGAGTTTTTTCAAAACCTCGAGTCTCTGTAGGTTGTTCTTGTCGGCGATCACTGTCAACTAGGACCTGTGATTATGTGCAAAAAAGCAGCGCGTGCTGGTCTGGCACAATCACTGTTTGAAAGGCTTGTACTTTTGGGAGTAAAACCCATTCGTCTTCAGGTATGTTACTTCAAAGCTGTTTATCTACGGTCTGAAGGACATTGTGTTACAGGTGCAATATCGAATGCACCCTTGCTTGTCCGAGTTTCCCTCCAATAGCTTTTACGAAGGAACACTGCAAAACGGCATTTCAATGAACGAGAGGCTTTCATCTGGTACTGACTTCCCATGGCCTGTTCCTACACGTCCAATGTTCTTCTACGTTCAGGTGGGTCTTAATTCAAGTTTGTTATTGTGAAGTAGGACCTTCGTGTTCTTCAGATGGGCCAAGAGGAAATAAGTGCAAGCGGGACATCCTACCTGAATAGGACAGAGGCTGCCAATGTCGAAAAAATCGTGAGCACGTTCCTGAAGAGTGGTGTTGTACCTAGTCAGGTAAATATCAAAGTTCAAAGGGCATTCCTTGAAGTAAACGTTTATATCCGCTGTAGATTGGTGTTATCACTCCATACGAAGGTCAGCGAGCCTACATTGTTAGCCATATGGCTAGAAATGGAAACCTTCGACAGCAGTTGTACAAAGAGATCGAGGTGTGTTTCTTAGTAGGTGTGCGGTGTTGTCTGAAGTGAAAATGCAGGTCGCCAGTGTCGACTCCTTTCAGGGACGTGAAAAGGACTACATCATATTATCCTGTGTTAGAAGCAACGAACATCAGGTGCACGTCTTTTATAACTCAATGAAATCTTATCGATCTTTACAGGGCATTGGTTTTCTGAACGATCCCCGAAGATTGAACGTGGCGCTTACTCGAGCTCGGTTTGGAATTGTTATCCTAGGTAATCCCAAGGTTCTGAGTAAGCAAGCCCTTTGGAATGGTCTCTTATCACATTACAAGGTATCTAAACCTGGAAATTCATACATTTGCACATGATAAAACGCTTTTAACTTTCAGGAGCACGAATGCTTGGTCGAGGGACCTCTGAATAATTTGAAGCAAAGCATGGTGCAGTTTCAGAAGCCTAAAAAGGTATACGTAGTTTGGAGCATTTATTCCATTTTAGCACTTGTCTTGTAGATCTTCCACGATCGACGAGTTTATGGTCCTGTTGGAGTTGGAGTTGTTCCTGCCGCTGCAGGGCCATACGATAAACGCAGTGGTCGTGGCAAAGTTGTGGACGGTCGTGGAGGTACTCGTGTATTTTTATGTGAGATTGAGAATTATTCACCGATTATCCTTGTAGGTGGCTACATGCCATTTGGTGCTATTCCTCACAAAGGAGGCATTCCTCATCCTGGCTTCCCGCAACCGCGGATGCCTCTTCCTCCTTTTCCCGGCGGTCCGCATACGCAGCCTTACGCCATTCCACCGCGCGGTACTCTTCACGGACCAATCGGTGGAGTTCCAGGGAATAGAGGTTATGGTGGTCGTGGCAACGCCGGGGGACCTATAGGTGGCCACCTATCCCATCATCAACCATCCCAAGGGTTGGGAGGAATTGGTGGCTTTAACTTTGGACTGGACAATCCATCTAGCCAGCCTTCCATGGGTGGGCCGCTTACTCAGCAGGGACTAATGACTCAGGTAATGTATTTTCTTTTGTCTCGGGGCTGTTAACAATTTTTGGATGCCATCACAGGGTTTGAGCCAGAATTTGAGGGAAGGATATTCATTGGGAGGGATGTCACAGGTGCGTTTTTGTGATTCGATATTATTTAGTCATTCGTTAAACCTCTTTCTTCAGGATTTTCTGGCCGAGGATTTCAAATCTCAGGGTTCTCATGTGGGATACAATGGACCAGAATTTTCAACACAGGTAGACATTGCTTGCGATCTTTCTTTTATTTTATTTTATCATTGTCTCTCTTCCAGGCCGGTATGTATGGGGTTGATTTCGTCACCCAGGGAACCCAAGGCACGTACCCTGGCGATTACATGAATCAGAATTCGCAAGGTTACGGTTCAAACAACGAGTTTGTACCTCAGGTTCGTTCGTTCGTTCGTTTGAGTTTTTCTTTTGGTTGACTGATTTTCCGTGCTACATACAAACAACAGGACTTCCTGTCTCATGGATCACAGAACTTGTTCACCCAAGTTGGCTTCGGCGAACGCACTCAAGATGATCCATCCGCTCAAGCTCACTACGGTCTGGGTGCCCACCAGGTAATACGAGCTGATTAATCGAGCAAGGAAGCTAAAGCTTGTATTTTTCCAGGGTCTCATGGGGCCAATGTACTCGCAGCCCTTCACGCAGTACACACAGCCGTTGAATCAACAGCAGCCGGCCCAGCACCGCATGCATTACAATGGTTAGAGAAAAGCCGGGAAGGGACTCGACGTACGCTCGTTCTCTTCTGAACAACGGACACGGTCCGAGCAGCATCCGAAGAATTCCGGGATGTACAAACGGCGAGACACAAGCGACGAGACAACGACGATGATGGCGACGATGGCGACGATGGCTTACCTTCTTCTCTGAAGGAAACAGAAGGGAGGAAAAATCCGCCGGCATCAAGTCTTCTTTGTTTTTGCAAGCGCGGTGCAAGTTCTAGTGGCACTTCCCTTCAACCAGTGCGACGTCTAACTTGCTTAAGGTGCTCGATCCGATCAATCTCCTCCATGGTATGGACTAAGTTTGTCAAAGTTACAGCATTTAGGACTTGGTTTTAAGTGATATGTCCAATTTGCTGATCTTTTGTTTTCCAAAATAAATACCCGATTTTTTATCAATGGGACAAGCCAGCTCAGATGGTCAAGGCGGTCGGCCGGCATGCCAGATCAGCTGCCGGGAGGTGTATATAAAGGTTGAGCTCGGGAGGATTGCTTGTGTGTGTGCGCTCTTCTTACTTCTAACGAGTTTCTTTGGCTGTGGCGTAGATGGAGCTGGATCTGGATGGCACCCATGGTGAGTGATTAGATCTTTGTTTTCATGTGCTTCTGGCTGTGTGTGGAGCTTGGTAGACTTTTTTGCTTGTCTGCTTTCTTTCTCCTCCTTGCCGCGAAGAAAAGAAGAAGAAGGCGAAGAGCTCGACTAGATTTCCCACGCCTCCAGCAGCCCACCGGACAAAGTCCGGCCCGACCTGGGGACATCCTGGCTCGGGCGTTTTCCTTTGGAGGCGGCGCCTCCAAATGGGACTCGTGGGTAATTTGCAAGAGGAGGCTGCCGCGCTGGTGGAGGTACTCGGCGAGCGCCTCCACCAGGCTACCGTGGCGGCCTCCACAAGTCTTGCAAAACCAAAGAAGCACTCCTCTTTTTTCCAGGCATTTGAGTTTCTCCGCTCGAACAACCGAAGTGGCGACTACAATAACAGTTCAAAATTCCTTTGGTGCCAGGACGTTTCTCTAAATGAACATCCGCACTTTGGTTCGAATTCTTCTTTGATCTCTTCAGGAGGACCAAAATTCAGCTCTTCCACTGCACCAGCAGTCAGAGCCGCTGGCTCAACTGCCCTACCTCTCGGCATCATATTGATTTGGGAATAGCCTTCAGCATCAGCACCACTTTGATATCATTGATGTTGCTTCTTGATTTGATGTCCCAAAGTAACCTTGAATATGGCGGACAAAAGAAACCCTAGAGCACACCTGATCATATGTGAATGGAATATGCATTCATTTGCTACGTGCACCTGCAAAATGGTCAGTATATTTACCTCAGGATAAAATTATTCTGTAGCCTACCACTTTGTGCGGGGAAATGTCGACTTGATACTCGGACCTAAACTCGAGTGCCTCCTCAACAACGCTTTCTCCCCAATTGGCATCATATTGATTTGGGAATAGCCTTCAGCATCAGCACCACTTTGATATCAATGATGTTGCTTCTTGATTTGATGTCCCAAAGTAACCTTGAATATGGCGAACAAAAGAAACGCTAGAGCAACCTGTGAAAGGTGGTGAGACGAGAATTTAAAACTGGGTTTGATTCATTTTATATGGTCCAGCATGCTGCGTAATTATACTGTCAAAATTTTATTTTATACAAAGTCCATGCAAGAATTCGGTTGTCAGGTAGAATGAAGCTAAAAGCCGCCCGTTGTAGCGGTTTAAAATGGGCGTAAGCCCGGATCGCCCCTTCTCGTCGCGCCCTCGATCCTGTTCCTCATCAATTTTAGGGTGCACCATAGGATTTTTTTAAATGAACTGAAAGTTAATCATTACATGGTCTTGCATCTACCACGTTAAATGTGCGACTCGATGGATCTTAAGCTTGAAGACGTGATCTTGTGCGTGCTCTTCAAAATGCAAAAGCATCGGAAATATTCGGCCTTAGGAAAAATTTAACATTGGAGCCACAATTTTATTCCTTGTGCTCTTTTGGATTACATTTTCTAGGGAATCTTCTCATCCTTGTCTTGCTTGTCATTCTTCTTCCTTGTCTTCCTTTTGTTTCTCCTCATCTTTTGAATCTAAATGATCATCCTTACACTTGAAGTTGATGTTGATGTTGTTGCCATTGTCATTCCATGCCTTGGTGAAAATCATCACCATCTTCTTCGTAAGAAGGCAAAAGAGAATCGGAAGTCTAGTGCTGCTGATTATTCATGAACTCCATGGACGGACAAGAGCTCCCTCCTTGAAGAAGACGAAGTATGATATATAAGTATGATACAAAAGTAATGATGTAAGATACATGTATACAAAATGAGTATACATGTATGATGTACAAATAAGATAAAAAGCTGATAAAAAAAGTTTGAATATTAGCCTTCAAATAAGAAACAAAACCATGGCAACTGTGGCCCACTCAACCGACAGCCTCCTCTTGCAAATTACCCACGAGTCGCCTTTGGAGGATGGCCCCAAGTTGGGAGCTCATTCTTTTTTCTGGTTAGGGCTCGAGGCAATGGATGATGTGTTTTCGACTCCCGTGCGCATTGTGTACGTGCATCCGGCAGAGGAGCGTGGTAGGAATGTGGACGATCTGCGTGCCAAGGTAGCATTCCGGGTCGTGCCATCCGACATCAAGAATTTGGGCGACCTTGTAAACTGGCTCAAGACAGTTCTTAAAGTGGACGCGGTCCTTAGCTCCAAGGGATGGATGGAAATTCCTACGCCAGATCCTGGCGCACACCTGCCCCCAACATTCGAGCTTCATCTCCGCAAGGCGCTCTTCACAGGTTTGATGTTGTTTGGCATGCTACTGTTCTCATACATTTCAAACAGATGCTTCTGATAACAGCAAGGAATGGGCTCGCACAGTGTTACAACCATTTCCGTTTGCTGTTCTCGACGTTGCTGGCTTGCGGAGAGCATTGGAGGAGCCACTCCCTTTGCCGCTTCCTGTTGGTCCTGCTACATATGCAACTCTGGACCCGAGCTATGCTACTCAGTTCATTCCGACCAACCAGTACCCCGCCGAGAGAATATCCGGTTGCGTAACAAACTTCATGAACTCGAGAGTGGCGCTTGGCATGTCCGAGAATCTGCTGCAAAGTATCTGGGACTCGGCATTTTGCAACTTGTGGATGGAGCTGCTGTATCTGTCGGAGATTACGAGCATTCAGTTCAACCGGAACGTCACCGACCATTCTGGTGCTTCAACGACAAACGTCAGTCCTGATTTGCTGCTTTGGATCTTGAACAGGCTGTGCGTCACGTTCGAGGAGAAACGGGTAACTTTGGAAGAGGCGTACCAGGACCTGATAAATAAGCTTGGCGTACTTCCACTACAGTACTATGGACCCGTCCAGTGGATAGTTGGGGTCGCATTAGCAGGTCCGGAGATGGCGGGGTGGGCTATGAGACAGGGGCAGACACCAGATGATCTGTTTGGGCGCTTAAACATGGGGTCACTCAGGGACAAGACAACATGCTTACGGCTCTCCATCACCTTCCTTCGGATTGCCTTGACAATTTCAAGCATCTACTCCAAGCTGAATTTTCTGCCGAGGCCATT